TTTATACCAGAGATTTCCTCCTTCGGTTCCTGTTTTCCCTGTGCCATGGGCCTCGACCGTATGGTGAGCTAGACTTTATCTTCGCGACTGTTGTGCTACCAACGTCTTCTGTTCTTCCTGCCGGAGATGCCACTATGACCATGGCAGTTGTGACGCGGATCTTGAATCGTGAATTTGCTCTCTGGGCGGAGATTGCGTCTGTTAACATGCGCTGGGACTGAAGCCTAACTACAGCGACATTGGGGAAACAGGAGTTTGCGAAATACATCACACAGACCTTGATGATTGTCGAACACTCCTGATTCCTTCCCGCCAGGATGACGATCTCCTAGGCTTCAGTTTATCCCCACAGTCAGTTCCAGCGCCGGCTAACTCGTCCGCCAGTCTCAGCCGCCTCAAGTGCTATACGTATGACGTCTCGTATACCCTTGCGTATATATGTACGCTATGAAAGCGATGTTGATACCTGCAATCTGTCCGTCTGTGCCAGTGGGCCAGTGGCGCAACTGTCAGTTTGTCTTGAGGCTTCAAGTTCAACCTTGTCCCAAATTGGCGGGCTCACGCGGTGTGTACTGCTTTCAAGTGACGTCCCTGCGAATTTGATTCCAGGGACTTATTTTGGGCACGGAGGGCGGGCAAGTAACGGTGTGCCTTCCTTCCTTGATATTTTTAGATGCCTATTGTAGGTACATCTATTTTCAGTAGCATCACCATCACAGTACACTTATCTTACCTTGCAACATCGCGATGGGTCCAACGGAGTCCATGGAGCGCGGAGTCTGACGAATGGGTCTTCTGAAGTGAAACATCATGCCTGCCATGTCTGTCCGTGAGGCTTCTACTGCACGAAAATCGGTCAGTTCCGAGTCTCGTCCCAGCCCTACGGCGTGCTACCGCAACCACCAATCTCTCGGGCTTCTAAGTGTTCAAATTGTTTCTTCGCGGTGGCGGATGCGATGCCATCATGGGCTGCCCGCGGGAAATACATTATTTCAATCGTCTCATCTGTCCCGACACTCTTTGAGAGGCATTAGTTATCTCCTACTCAATACGCACATTGGACACGAATGCTGTGGCCAATATTGACGGTCTTGCGACGTGTATCAGTCATTAAAGGTTCCACTTCAACCTGGAACATTCAGCGCGATGGTTACGCAGTACGCGATGGGTGAAGGTTAGGCGTCTACTGGCAGTTGAAAGGCTACGCGACATTCGATGCTATTCCAAGCTTCTGTTGACGCTTTGTTCTCCGCCGGCGCACCCATCATAGCAGCGCGCGCCGCCAAGTGATTTAAACGCGAATCCCGCTGTGTAATCATTAGCGAAGGAAAATCCTCTTAGCGACAAAATAGGCTACATAGCCTTGCCTAACACGTTCGTTTATTGGCAGTGACACTACCCCGTATACACAAATGCCACAAATGCAACGGCGGTAACACGGCCGTTCGCTTGGCGGACAGCGCGCATCATTCTAGGCGGAGGCTGTGTAGACGCGCTATCATTCTATGTAGGCAGGCGGGGGGTCGGCAATCACAATAAGGGTCTACTTCCTTACTCCGACATGCAAGGCTCTACTGTAAAGTCAAAGTCGACCAAGACGGGCAAATCAACTGAACGTTGCATACAACACAATAATAATAATCGGACCTGATAGCGGAATATACTGTATCGCGCCTGCACATCCTGGGAGGGAACGATAAAGTTCCGCGGGAGGTCTTGGTTCGGATCCAGGTCGGGTCATAGGCAAACTTGGCGGGAATCTTTGCTTTTTGTTTTGCATAAGACTTTGTTTTTGACCGCCACATGCTGCAACCTCAGGACGAACAAGGCTCGGACTTGAATTTCGCGGCAGAATGAAGCAACACGAGATACAAGGCAGCACCACAGGAAGGCAAGGTTCCATAGTGATACTCAGAGCTTATAGCGAAATGTATCGCGCCTGCGACACTTATGTAGAACCCTCCCGAGATTCCGTCGAAGCTCCTGGTTCGAGTCCAGGTCGGGTCATGCCGTAGATTCCGGGTACGCTACTTTTTATCTCTCCAACAAGGTGTTCAGTCAGGTTGATGCCTTCGGTAACTCTGCTGGGGCTATTCAGCAGAACCCTTCAGCGATTATATCGCCATTCGTTCAACAACAGGCAAGATAATTGCGTGCCCAGAGAGAATATGAGTGGAACAGACGGCGAGAAAGTAGAAACGAGGATTCATACTGAAATTCAGCCTCCAGTTCGTGGTACCGACCAATAATTCTCACACCCCTCGAATTCAACTTGTCGGTGTTGCATTGAAAGTGGATTGGGTCAAGTAAAGACTTCACAACCCAATGACCAGACCTGATGGCGAAAGGCATCGACTTCACTTCAAAATACTTGGGAACAGATACGACTTCTGTACGGCCCAAGTCGCTGGTTCGAACCCAGATCAGATCATGTACCATAGCCATCTTTTGCTTTTGTTGAATTAGGTTCTGGTTTCCGTTAGTCGGCAGGACTCAATTGTGAATTTTCCTCCCGCAAGGAATGGGGAAAAATGTTTACGGTGCATCGACGAATCTTGAGGGAAAACAAAGTTGAGTAGAGTTAGTCCATCTTTCTTTCAACATGGGACCAATGACACGTTAAATGACGATTTAACAAGGTAGAAATCAGACCTCGGGCTCATACCCGATGCGCAAAGCTATGTTGAATCTCTATCTCCCACGGAAACTCCTGGTTCGATCCCAGGTCAGATCCTACTCTTGGATGGCACGGCTCTTTTTGGTTTTTCATGTTTGGTTGCTTTTAGAACTTTGGCGCTTACCCTCACGAGGTTAGCTCGTAGCGCAATTGATGAACGGCATACTTTTGTTTTTCTGCTCCGCAACCAAAGGGCAGGATCATTATAAGTGAACATGACACAACCTGAACTGGCTTGTTCGGCTTTCTACGGCCGTTTCAGCGGCCGATCGGAAAAGCTCGGGTCGCCACGCATCTGGCCGTATCAGATAAGCCTGAAACAGATACGTGGGAACGCAATTTTTTTGTAAGGGTCTATTTAGGTCTCGGCGCAAAAACAATCCTAAAGTCGGACCACCACCTCGACGACCTCCACAGTCACCAAATCCACGACTCATAATGGTTGCCCTCGTCCAGCGCCCCGCCCCCGGCTTCAAGGCCCCCACCGTCATCGACGGCGTCTTCGAGGACGTTTCTCTGTCAGATTTTCTCGGCAAATGGTACGCGGAGTCACTTTGCGGGAGTCGACGGATGCTGGGCTGACGCAGGAGGATTGCAGGGTTGTGCTACTCTTTTACCCTATGTGAGTTTGTTCTGTGTGGGTCGCGTTGAGGGGAGGCTGATGATTGAGTGGCATAGGGACTTTACCTTTGTCTGCCCGACTGTAATTTTTTTTGTCGAGGAACTCGTATCGAGGGACTCACGTACGTCTCATAGGAAATCCTCGCGTTTAACGACGCGCTCCCCGCGCTGAAGGAGATCGACACTGTTGTGCTTGGTGCGCGCGTTTCATTCATCACCTTGCCACTGATCTAATCTCCCGTTTTTTTGTCTTGTTATAATCTTCCAGGCGTCTCGACCGACTCGCAGTTCTCTCACCTCGCATGGTCTACGCAGCCACGCAAGCAAGGTGGTCTCGGCCCTGACCTGAAGCTCCCACTCGTTGCGGACAAGAGCATGAAAATCTCACGCGACTACGGTGTCCTGCTCGAGGATGAGGGCATTGCGCTCCGTGGGCTCTTCATCATCGACCCCAAGGGTATCCTCCGGTGCGTACTCGGTGCCAGTCCTCGTTTTCGCCTCCCCTCATTGAAATTCCTGCGACCGTTTCCCCCGTTCCGTGGGCGAATGAATATATCCAACTGATGCTGATTCATTTCTCACAGTCAGATCACCGTCAACGACCTCCCCGTCGGCCGCTCCGTCGAGGAGACGATCCGCCTCGTCAAGGCGTTCCAGTTCACCGTGCGTTGCACTTCTCCTCTTTTCATTTCAACTTGCATTTCAATTTCTTTTGGTTGTGTTCCTGCAACGAGCACGCGTCGTTCTCCATATCTCACCGTTAAGCTCCCCCCTACCCTCGCGACACTCATTTTCCTTCGTCTTGCGTCCTTATTTGCGTCCTCGCGCCATAATTACACCCCATCACGACATCCGCGTACCTCATCGCGGCATGCGGCGTTCGTTACCTTTCTCTTTCAATCCGGATCTATCTACCTATCCCTCCCTGTTCGAGGCAATTACTCATCAGCCAACTGATATCTGCGACGCACCGCACTCCAAATTTCACATCACTGAACACTGACACACATTTGCGCGCGCAGGACAAATATGGCGAAGTCTGCCCCGCGAACTGGACCGAGGGCGCCAAGACGATCAAGGCGGACCCCAAAGCGAGTCTCGAATATTTCGCCAACCCTGGTACCAATGGTACCACGAACGGCACCAACGGCCACACGGCGAAACGCGCGCGGGTTGATTAGAGTGCTTCGCGTCAAGTAGGGACTGAAAGGGCGCGCGTTGATGAGAGTGCGAAAGGGTGTTGCGTCACCTAGAGAACGGCGTTGGGGTTCAATTGGAGCGCGACGAAGGGGTTAATTAGACGGGTATTACTAGACGCGGTAGATGGGCTGGGAACGTGATATCTAGAATGGGGCGTAGGCGTAAAGGCATAGGGAATATACACAGAATCCAGAAAGAAATATTTACTTGGACACTGAATTAATTCACAATGCACTTAAGTTTGCGATGGCTATACGGTCGCCGCCTAGCTCGTATTTCGTCGCTGTGAAAAGGAAAAAATTATCGAACACACCATGACCTAGCCTGCAGTTGAACCAGGAAGTTCTCACTGAACTCGACGCATGGATCTGGTTGAAGTGCGGTGGGTGCGATGCCGTTCGCCACCAGGCCCTATTCCAGCTGTGTTGCAACGGTGCACTTTTCGCGGTTGCCAACACAAGCTGCAACATTCGTTCAAAAGATACAGCTCAGACTTCGCCAACGACCTGGCCTGGAATCGAACCAGGAGCTCCCGCCGAACAATGTTATATCCGTATGTTGAGTAGGCGCGATACCGCTCGCCACCAGGTCTTATTCATGCTGTGTTGAACCTCATTTAGTGGTGCATTTTTTTGCTGTTGATTTACCAACACGAGCTAGACCACAGTACTTCAGGCCAAAAGCACAAATCGATCACAAATGACCTGGCCTGGAGTCGAACCAGGAATGTCCACTGATACCCATTTTTATCCTTCCTCAGATGGAGTGGGCGCGAAACCGTTCGCCCCCAGGTCTTATTTCTACTGTGTTGAACCTCATCCGAAGTTGTACTTTTTTTGTTCCTTCACCTCGAGTCGCTGTGGGGAATGTGAGCTGGACACTTGTCGCACCAAAAACGTCCCAGAAGGCGATTCTACAAACCGGTACCAACTGCCACCAGGCCTTTTAACTGCTCAACTGAACGCCGATTGATTCTTGTAGGATCTTGCCTGGGAATGCAACCAGAATTGAATCAAATCCGTCTGGCAATTCCTTGTTCAGGATCTGAGTGAGACCGCTCAACGATTTTTAATAGAGAATAATAGCAGGGCCAGAGGGTATGTTCTCTGTAGTCTGGTGAGGTCCCTTGAGAAAACGCAGGGGAAGGAAAAACCAAGAAAGTAGGTGAGGAGTGCTACAGAACACGAAGATTTAGTGTTACGCACCCCGACCTCGCTAACCCAAACGTTCCGCAAAAAAAAAAAAAAAAAAAAAAAAAAAAAAGTTGACGTCATGCAACCAAACAGAGCAGCACAGAAGCACAGCCTTTCCTGGCCCTTTCCTTCCGACTCTTCAAATGAGCCGCTCGAGAAGCACGTCGAGAAGGCAGAAAATTTATGGACACGCTGGTACAGTTCGCATTTCCCTAACTCAAACATCAATTGCTTCCCACCATTCCTGAATCCCTGCCAATCAAAATCGCAGCGGCGAGCTTTGAGCGACTTGGAGCTGGGCGATTCTGCCGGTAATACGTACGTCGGTCTCAGACGTCAACTACGTGATCCCTGACCATTCCCAAGGCAACCCAATTCAGCCAGTGCGGAAATTGCCCCATTTCCTACTTTCCCGCCGACTCCAACCTTCCCATTGGAAACCATGACACTGTTCTCAATTCCACCGATGTTTACCACATTTATCGCGGGAAGCGACGCTCACTAAGCCTTCTTATTAATGGCATGAAGCTTAGAAATCCGGGAAACCCACGCCACAGCGGTATTCTTGTGCTTTGTAAGAGTGTCCAAATTGCTGTATAAGTTCCATCTTCCCATCACAAGGTTTCCTCCTTCGGTGAAAGATGTCTCTTCCGAAAACTACGCAGCAGTATTCGCTATTTGAGGTCAGTCCTGCCACCTCTCCAATCACATTTGTCGAAGCAACAAGCAGCGTGGGTCGTATGAAAACTTGACTTTCCACGAGATCCCTCTGGCCCCACCGAAACCGAATGAGGTCCTGGTCAAAACACATGCCGTTTCCTTACAGGTATTATTTCTTACTTTCCACGCTACCCTCTCCAATCTTGAGGGAAACAGTACCGTGATCTTATGATGGCGGAAGGCACCTATCCAGGCGCGTGCGTATTTTTTCTGTTCACCGGTAGTCACAGATCAGCGCTAATCGATTGTCTCACCAGACTCCCAGGGACCCTCGTCCCCTGCTCCGACACAGCAGGCGAAGTAATTGCGGTCGGCTCCGAAGTCACACAATGGCGCATCGGAGCTCGTGTTTCCCCCAACTTCATCATGGACAGGGTCACCGACGAAATGACTCCGGCTATTATGCGAACCGTACTCGGTGGAGAGACCCAAGGCGTCTTGACGCAGTACAGGTCCTATCCCGCTCATGTACTCCCCAAAATTTTCTACTATTGTGCACAATTCAACAACTAACCAGATCGCAGTGTTTGGTTGCAATCCCGGCGCACCTTTCCTATGAAGAGGCCGCCACATTACCGTGAGCATGCCCGTTTCTATCTTGGTCCTGGAATGAAACACTAAATCCAGCTGCGCTGCGGTGACTGCCTACAACGCACTCACAGGAGGATATCCGGCGGTCAAAGCCGGCGACACCGTTCTCGTTCTCGGCAGCGGCGGCGTATCAATGTAAGCTTTGTCTAGCTCAAGTCTAGCTATAAAAAATCAGCTGTTCAACCCGCTTCAGTTTCGGGCTCCAATTTGCGGTCGCGTCCGGCGCTACGGTCATTGCACTCTCTTCGTCCGACGAGAAGCTTAAGAAAGCGACTCAACTCGGTGCAAAGCACGTCATCAACTATAAAACTACACCCGAATGGGACGCAGAGGTTTTAAAACTGACCGATGGTAAGGGAGTCGACCGTGTCATCGAGGTCTGTCATTCATTTCGTCCTAGATTCCTTTGGGCACTGAACTCACCGTGCACTCAAAAAAGGTCGGGGGTAACGCGACGCTGGCACGGTCCATGGCATCGGTGAGGCTCCAGGGTAATATCGACCTCGTTGGGAGTGTCGGAGGGGTGTGTTCATCCATCATACGTCATTGCCCGCCGTTCGCCACTTTCTCCCCAAGTTTCTTAATGTTGACGGGTAACTGAATTGTTCCTGACTTGGATTTTCTTCCTATCCTAGTTGAACGCCACACCCGTGGACATATTCCTCCCTTCACAGTTCAAGGGGCTCACGATCCGGGGTATAACCATCGGCTCCGTCGCACAGTGGGTCCCATTCTCTGCTTCTTTTTCGATAAATTTCACGGCGCTTCCAATGATTCTGACCTGCGTTCAATCTGAAGTTTGGAAATTACTCACTTATCTCTCTTCCCAGTTTCCGTGCCATGAACAAGCTTATATCTGCGAATCCTGATACCACACGGCCGGTGATCGACAAGGTGTTTGAGTTCTCCGAAGTCAAGGCCGCGTACGCCTACCTCGAGTCAGGGGCGCATGTTGGGAAAGTTGTTATCAAGGTTACTTGAAATCGAAGGGGAAAACAAATCTGAGCGAAGGTTCGACAGCGCTTGTAGTTCAAATACATAGAGTCATGTATGGACGATATTCTGGAAGAAAGCTGGTAACTTTGGCGATTACGCTCAGGTAGGTGGGGATGTGGCCCGATGATGGTTTATTTTGACAAGTTGGGCAACTCGCATACTACATTAAAGTTCCAGAGCGAAAAGTTCGAAATTTGTGTGCTCTCCAGCTTTGATGGGAGGCTAAAGTTGGTGCATACCCGTCGCCAACCAGTCGTGACTACTAGTCTTTTTACTTCACAAAGATTCACAATCACACTCACCTGGTTCGGGCTGTATTTTTCTTGCCATATTACCCATTTGAATATCTACTTTCGTCCCCATACTTCATGCATGATCATGCCGCCTTTTGGACCAGATTCAAATTGCATCCTTGATAGGAAGCCGCCGGCCCGGTCACAATGACCGGGGCCGGTGCTTTCCTTGTCGTAGCACTGCCACGGACCCGGCTTGTCCGCTACGTCCACCCGTCCACTTCACCGTCCCTTTTTACGGTGCCGTTGAACCCGCTTGCCTCGATCCACCCTCATACGAACTTGTCTACATCAGTGGGTCTACGCAGGCTTTGAAGTTGCTACCGGTTCTCTAATTCCTCGTGGCCACTGACAGTCCACAGCCTTTCGAAAACTCGCCTGCGGCCTCAGGCCCATACATCGATTCGTGCAAACCTAGCGCAAGCGTTAGATTCTCAACAGCAGTATAATAAATCAATTTCGGTGGCAAAAGTTGCATTCAGCAATCGACTCACATCAGTTTCTGGCCAGTGCCACCATGTCCTCCGAGCCAAAAATGTCACTCCAGGGCCTCAATGTCGATGTCCTCATAGCCATTCTGTCTCTCACTGATGTCGCTACTATCGCCGCCTTCTCCGGAGTGCGTTCCCTTGCTCTTACATCCTAATAGCAAGATTTCCATCGCTATGACAGGTCAACAAAGCATTCTACGCCATTTCCCGCACCAAGCAACTCTGGATCTAGGCTGTACGCCATCTAGCTGGCCAGGGCCGCATCGACGCTCCCCCCGACGAAATGTTGCAGACGCTTAGCATAACAAAGCTCATTGATGAGGTGAAACGGACGATGCTAGGCCCACGGACCTGGTCGCCGTTCTCTGCGGATCCTCCGACACTCTTACGCCGGAGCATCGTGCCCTTGCACAATGTATTGGGGAAAGATGCGGAACCCGTTGAGCTGTTGCCTGGGGGACGATACATCATATATGTCGAGCCGGTACCGGACAGACACTGTGGGAAATCCATTGCATGCTGGGATGTATGGACTGGCCTCTGTGTTTGGTCCTGGGGGCGTTCAGACTACTCGGTTGCGGGTGTGGCTTTTGACATCCGCTCCGGGTCCAAGGCAATTGTGGCTTTCATGTGTCTCTATAAGTTCGTATCGTATCCATCGTTTCCCCAACTTACGATCTCAATTCATTGCAGTTCTCATTGCGGGCTAGTGGTCCTGGAGGCCAATCTCGCGACTGGACAGTCAACTCAACTACTGGAGCCGGAGTGCTCGTTAGAAATCTCCCCGGATACATTGCGTATTTGTGATGACTTTCTAGCTTTCCGAGCTACGAAGCTCTGGGTAACAGCCTTTTTTTTCTCGTAAACTGGCGCACTGGAGACTACATTGTTCTCGACCGCGACGCCGACGTCGACGAAAACGCGAACAGCGAGGAAGATGACGAGGAAGGGGCGGCAGGGAGTTTGGTATGCATTGCCAATCCCCTTTTCATCTTCCACTTTGCAGTTCTAATTTACGTTTTGCAAGTTTCCAATCTTCGCTCTCCTTCCTGGTTGTCCTCATATTGACATCTACCTGCCTCTTGACCGTTTGGATACTGCGACCATTCATTCTTTCCCGTCCCTAACCAGCCTCGGGCGCCCCATCGACAGCTTCCACTCGGATGATCACACCGCCATGCAGGGAACCTTACGCCCTCCCGGTCACTATGCCGATGGCAGTCTGGATGCCAGGGTCTCCGAGAGCCCATTGCACGACGGAGTTTACAAGCTAGTTCTCGAGTAAGTGTCCGACCACCGTCGATTTG